AAAAAAAAAAAAAAAAAAAAAAAAAAAAATTCCTTTTTTTTAATAGGAAGTGGCAATTAATGCCATTAATAAGCTTAAAATTTACTACAATAAAACTGATTCAACTTTATATGCAGTTTCTTTAAGTAAGTTATGATTATTAAGTTAATTTAATTTAATTAATTTTAATAATGTTTGTAATATATATAGTTTTAGATTCACGTCTTAAAGTAGAATATATGAAAGATAATGAATGGGAAACCCAATGGGTTAATAGAACAAAAAAAACTGTATGAGTTTTATTTGTTTTATTTAAATTATATTATAATTTTCCTCATAAAAATTTACATTTTTGGTAAATCATATGATATATGATTTACATTTTAAATTTTATTTTGATTGACTTTAATTTTAATATCAATTCATGTAATTAATGATCAATTGCTGACTACTGTATATCTATACCTATATGTTACCAAATTTCTACATTTATGCTACACATATCAGATATTAAATATTATACACATGTACAGTATATCTTATACATACTGGATATATACAGTATATCAGATATCAAATATATACTCAATAACCTTAATATATTTTGACTAGTATTATCAGGTTTTGCTCTAATTTTTTCCAGAATTTCACCAACTTCTTAATAAAATTTTCATATAGTTTTGGCAAAGTTTTGCTATTTCAGCATTTTGTTAACTTGCTAAACTCTCTAGTTTTCTAGTAATCTTATATGTAACATTTAAATTTTCTATTATTATTATTCTTTAACCTAAAAAATTTCAAAGAATAACTCTTATATATATCAAAAAAAAACCAAATATTATTTTATTATAACCATTTTAAAATAGGGTATTTTAGACCATCTTACATATTTTTTTTTGCATGCCTTTTTTTTAGTTTTATTGCTTTTATATCTTTTCTTTTATTTTAAATCTGCTTTTTGATAATCATTTATGTCTTTAACAATAAACCATTTATCAACTATACCCACCAAAATTTGTATTTTTTGCCATTTTTAAATATTTATAACAGTTTATATTGGCCAAATAATAGCCTGTATAATTTTCTAGTGTCTGGTACATTAAAAAATAAATATTAAATTTAAAAAACTATATTTTAGTTTAAAGGTTCAAATTTATTTTTACTATTTTATTTGTTTTTTAATAGGTATAAATTAATTGATTTCTTTTACATGTAAAAATAATAATAATATTCTTTCTACTTATTTGTTACCAAATGAAAAATCTTTCATATTAATCTAAAGATAGTGAATAGTGCTAATTGAAAATGAGAATGAAAAAAAAAATACCCTATTATAAGAAATTTCTTAGATTTTTAATCTCCAAAAATCTTCTTTCCTTTTCAACTATTAGAATGATCTGCATTATATTTTATTTTGGCGATTTCTACTAACTCTGTAAATTCACCACTCTTTTCGCACATAGCTCTAAATACTGAGTTTGGATTTTGTAATAATAAATAAGGGTGATCAAATTCTATAACTCTCCCAGCATCTATCAACGAAACCAAAAAAAAAGTTAGCATTAATATTAAAAACTCAAAATTCCAATTAGATTAAGATTTACCTAAAACCAAAATTTTATCATAATCAACAACGGTTCTTATTCGATGTGCAATACATAATAAAGTAGAATCTCTAAATTCTTGTCTAATAGTTTCTTGAATCATTCTATCAGTTTTAAAATCTACACTGGCTGTTGCTTCGTCCATGATAATTAATTTTGATCTACATACCAAAGCTCTAGCTAACGCAATAAGTTGCCTTTGACCTTGTGAAAAGTTGCCACCATTTTCACTTACAGGTGCATCAAGACTCCAATTAAAATGGTTTTGTTCTAAATATTTATTTGATTCTATTTCATCTTCGATAAGTTCCGGTGTTACAGATTGCTGTATTTCTGAAGATAATGATAATTTATTATCATCATCAATTAAATGAGCTCTTTTAAGAGAATTCCATAATTCGACATCGTCATATTTACCAAAAGGATCAAGGTTACTCCTAGATAAAATTAAATATCATAAATAATACTGAGAAATAAACATAATTTGTACAGCATTATTCCTACCTTAAAGTACCGCTAAACAATACTGGATCCTGAGGTATTATAGTTAGCCTACTTCTTAAATCAAAAAGTCCAAGAGTTGAAATATCAATATCGTCGATAATAATTTGTCCTGAAGTTGGTTCCATAAATCTGAAGAATGAAAGGGCTAATGTTGATTTTCCGGATCCTAAAATATGATAAATAGTTAAATAAAATTCGGAAAAATATATGTATATATATATATTCATTATCTCATACCCGTCCTTCCGACTATCCCAATCTTTTCTGATGGTTTAATATGAAATGAGACATCCTTTAATACAGGTGGATTTTCTGGTGCATATTGCATTATGAGATTATTCACTTTAATTTCTCCTTGGAAAGGCCATTCGGGAGGTGGTCTATGACCTTCAATGATTCTTGGAGGCTCTTCTTCCAAGTTCATATATTCTCTAATTCTTTCAACTAATATAAATATATATAACAAAACTTAGCAAAATCTTTCAAACTTAATTAAATAAATTAACATTACACCTACCAGAGTTCATGTTCATCTCTTGTAAAGCATACAATCTCAATAACCATAATAAATGCCCAGTAAAATTCAATGCATAAGAGAGCGCAAAACCTGCTAACCCCGGATCCATTCCTTTAGATAATTGATATATAACAATGGTTCCAGCAGCTAAACACACTAATCCTCCCACTAAGTCAACACGAGTGTTTAACCAACGATTACATGCCCAATTAAATATAAAAGGTCGATTATTTCCATCAACAAGTGAAAGCATCTTTTTTATTAATCTATTCTCCCCGCCAAATGCTCTAATGGTTGAAACGCCAGTAATTGTCTATAAATATCCAAAAGTATCATTGTTTAAAAAAAGTCTTGTTTAACATTCACAAAATAAATACAAATTTACAAACCTCTCCAAATGCTGCATATATAGGAGATCGTTTGATCGACTCAATACCTAGTATGAATTATTTTGATTCAATATGCAATTTTAAGTATTTTTACTATTTTAACAAAATTATAAGTTATTTAACCTACGTTTAAGATCTCTTGATGTTGCAACATAATAAGCTCCAATAATTATGTATAAGATAGCAATGAAAGTACCAGCTATCATAAATCGAGGCATTACAATAGAAATAGCAAATATGACTGATACAGTTGCGAAACAGGAATAAATGAGGAACATTGCCATAGGAGACAAATTCAGATCAATAACTTCCATATCTTTTGAAAATCGGTTCAATATGCGTCCTGTTACCAAAATATAAGAAACAATGAATATTGTGACATGCAAGAGCCAAAACGAATAAGAGCCAAAACGAATAAGAGCCAAAACGAATAAAGAATAAATAAATACCAATAGGAGTTGTATCAAAAAATCTTATTTTTGCTTTCATAACCTTTTCCAAGATTGCTTCATGTAATTTTCTTGAAGCAACCAATGAACCCATAGACATGTAATACGATCTTATTGACCCAAACAATGCAATTAAGAAACCTAGAAGAATATATACACCAAGATAATAATTTACATCAACTTGATTTTTGTTATGTTCTGAACTTATAGCTTGTGAAGACATATGATCAGCTGAAGGCATAGAAAAAAAACCGAAGAAAGCTTTAATAAGTTGTGGTAGTGAAAAAGTAGATAGAGAACTATAAACGTCTTGGCTAGGAAAAGTAGAAGGCCAAAAGAAAGATGATAATGTTGATGAAACATTATACATTTGATCGTGAGCTAAAGAATAAGCATTAGTCCATTCCCTAATCCACCAATCTGTCAAAACAAGAACAAAATGAGTAATATAATTCTATATAACTCTTAAAAAAAATATCATTATTTTATATTACCTTCACCAACTTGTATTGATTGTGTAATTATAAACATAAATATCAAGAATATCCAAAATAAGAATCCACCTGAAGCTATAAAATAAATCTTATATACACTCCAGTCAACAATCCCCTCGGCCTTTTCTTCTTCAGCAATTAATTTGCCGTCACCTTTACTAGATAATTTCTGAAGATTTAAAGAAGATAAATCTGGTTCTTCGGCTACACTTTTCTTATTTGTCTCATTTTGTTCTTCAGTAATTTCTACTATTCCTCGAGATAAAACTTCACTTGGAGTCCCTTGACCAACCACGCGACCATCTTTCATGACAATTACTTTATGTGCACCACGAAGACAAAGCCCTACATGATGCGTGACTAGAATGAGCGTTCGATCCTTCATAAGTTCTCCCATTAAACATTTTTCATATAAATGTTTTGCTGTGTGAGCATCAACGGCTATATAATATAAGAAATATATTAAGAATTATGATATTTTTAATAGAGAAGTAATAATAGTATTTTACTGTGTAAATACCTGATAAACAATCATCCATTATGATAATTTTTGCTTGAGAATAAACAGCTCTAGCTAACGCGATACGCTGTTTTTGACCGCCTGATAGAGTAATTCCTTTTTCTCCTATTTCAGTTATATCTCCAAATTCAAATATTTCCAAATCCTTATTTAACGCGCACATATTCAATACGTTTTTATAACGATCTTCATCGAAAGAAAGGCCAAATAAAATGTTTTCTCTAATCGAAGCGTTTTGAAGCCATGCTAAACAAAACGTATGTTAAATAAATGGAGACATTACAATAAAATCAATCACATTAAATTACCTGTTTGTGCCACATACGCTATTCCGCTAGGAGCACCTCCCAAATTCTTGGGCGAAGTTTTTTTCCTAGGCAAAAATACGCGACCACTTAAGCAATCCAGTTCTCCCAATAAAGCCATCAATAAACTTGTTTTCCCACTCCCAGTAGGTCCGCAAATTATTGAAAGTTTACCAACAGGAAATGTTATATTTAAATCGAACAAAGTGAACTTGTTAAGAGGATTTTTAATTGTAATATCGATATTATTATTAAGGTCATCAGTTGAAGAAGCACCATTAGGCCACTGAAATGAAGCATTTCTGAATCCAATTTCAGGATCGTTACTACTTGATGGTCGACTATCCTGACGTGTAATTTCAGGCTCTTTCAGAAATTTTTCGATACGCACAATGGAAATTTGAGCTAAATATATAAAAATATATGTTATATATTGGCGCGAGAACTAATAAATACGTAAATCCCAGATAATTACCTTGAATAATGGAAATAATCGTTGAAGGTCCTTCATCGAGTGCATGACGAAGCATATTAAATAGGGTAAGAGCTGTAAAAGCTATTGTTGCCGATAATTCATTACCGAGCAATTTTGTGTAAGTCATAAAAACAGCGAACATAATAACAAGTGGCAAACACGACCAAATATTTGCAATATAAATCCATTGTATCAAACGAGATTTAATTTCTTTAAGCTCATTTTCACGTGCATCTATAATTTTTTTTTGGAACTGATCCTCCCAAGCGAAAAACTTGATTATTCTAATCGCTTGAAGTAACTATTTAAAGTTCGAATTATATTAGTATTATTATAAAGTATAAAAAAAAATATTAAAATAATTATTAAAACATGCAAACCTCGTTCATTGCACCAATACGTTTATCTGTTGCTGCCATAAGGCGCTTTTGAATAGTTGAAATGCGTTGATTTATTAAAGCAGGAAGTGGATAAGTCACAATAATGGTGAATACGCCCACAATAGCACTGAATCCAAGCAACAAGTATAATAATGTTATACATAATATAATTTGCAAAGGGAAACAATATACTAATAATAATAATAAAGATTTGTTATTAATTAAAAAAAAACATCATAAACATTAATTATAATAAACTTATATTAAAGATCTTACAATAGAAAATATAAGCTATAATGTCTGATATTTTCGTTGCATCGACAGCCATTAAATTTGTAATATTCCCAGTTTTATTCTTTGTATCTTCATCATCTGTTACCCCTGTTGTATCCTTTCTAGAAAGAGATTTTAAGTAAATTTCACCTATTATAATCGCCTAATAGTAATTACATTTTTTTTTTTAAAAAAAAAATATTAATTTAAATAATAATGAGATTTAATGATTTAATTAAACCTACTTGAGTTTTAATTCCTAATTTTCGACCAATATATAAAGCTTGTTGAAAGCATAAACTTGGCACTATAGTGCCTAAAAATAATCCTATTACATAAAAATAGGCACTAACTTGGGTCTCGTCACCGTTATTGGGATAATTTTGTACATAGAGTAAAATTTTACGTAGAAAATAAGGAGGTGCAAATATGAGAGTAATAGACCAAATCACAGAATAACAGAACTGAACAAAAAGCTCTTTTCTAAAAGTATAAAATAAAGATCTAACAAGAGACCCTTTTCTATGAAAACCTTTCAAAACATTTGATGCTCTAGAATAATCCGGCAACTCATATATATCATTTTCATCTAAAGTTTTTCGGAACCCTTTAGCCATTAAAGGAATTAACCATGAAAACGTGAAGTGTTCATATAAAGAACATTTCACTTCAGGTGATGGAAATCGACCCTTAGATCAGACGAGAAATAAAAATTATATTAACTAATTTAATACAATAAAAAAAACACAATTTGGTATTCTCAAAGACCAATACCTCTGAATTAGGTTTTGACAATATTCCTTCGGGGTCATCTTCTGGTTCCATTATAGTAATCATAACCAAAATAAAAGAAATGATCAAAACCAAAAGTCCAAATGAATAATATGTGATGAAATATTTGTTAAATTGCAAATAAAATGAGCAAATATTGTAGATTGAAGCAACAAATGTGATAAAATATAGAATGTCTAAATGTCCGCGTAAATGAAATATATTACGCTGCTGAGATGTGAGGTTGATAAAGGCTAACAATGTGGCATATATCTAATGAATAGTTTTAGTTAAAATTTAAATTAATTGTTCAATTTACTATAAATATTACTAAATTTCACATACCCATATTAATTCTTCAACAATTGAAAAAATTATCCAATAAAATTCACATTTATTTTCATTATATTCACTCCACCGCATGATACCAACGGAACAAAATAATGCAAACATCACCGCTCCAAAAAATAATCGACCAAAGTCAAAAATTTTATTTCTCTGTTCATTTAAAGTTATAAATTCCGGATTATCATCAATTTCTTCTACATCATCAATATTTGAGTCTACTGAACTAATCGCTCCATAAGATGAACTGATTTGTCCGGAAATCAAAGGTTCATAAAACAGACTTTTTTTCCGTTTATATTTGATATAAGTTGTTAGAAGAACACATACTGAACCGATAGTGTACACTAATGGTATTCCCACGTTAATCAAACTATATATATAAAAAAAGTAAATTTAGTAATATTGTAAAACAAACCACTGTGAGAAAATAAGATACACAAAAAGCTTACGTTTCTTGGAAACAATTTATGGAATCATAATTTTTCCACGGCCCCTATATTTAGAAACAATCAAAACAAATTTGGGATTTATACTTGTTTATCCCGCTGATTTTTTCCAAAAACGAAATTCTTACCCAAGAGTCAAACCCACAATAACTGTTTGATTGATTCAACATATTTACACAATATTGTTAAATTTTAAGCTCAGAATTTAAGGATCAAACAATTTATTTATATTAAAAAATATCTTTTTTTTTACGCAGATACGCAGAATCTTATGTAATGAAAGGATCGTCATGATATGTCGTGGAAGATTATGTACGGAGCAACTTTTCCAGGCCCTTTACTAAATTTGTGTTAAATTTGTACTAAATTACTAATCTGGTTAATTTTTGAAAGAATGAAAGGCAAAAATGGGATTACAAGGAACGACTAGAATCCTATATTAATTAATAATTCATTAATAATGAAGAAAGCTGGCTTTGTGATCGATATCAAGTCGAGATTGCCTGTGTAATTGTGTATTTTCCGTGTGGCACAGTACAATTGTAGGTAAGTACGTACTCATGTTATATATCCAAATCAGTCAGCAAACAAATAACCTAAAAATAGAAATTTATCATCTTGAAAACAATCTATAAAAAGTCTAGAAAATCGTGTCGATTTTTTTTCAACCCAAGAGACCGCGTTGATATTATACTTTCGAAATGTTTTTTTTTTGATTTTTTATTTTTTCCACTCCATATCAACTAATTTTGTCCGTAGATCTTTACCATTTTCCGGATTTTCATATTCGATCAAACAAAAAAATATATAATATATATAAAATGTTTTGTAATATAGAACAATTTAAACATATTTTTGAAACTTTGTTATTTCAGGCTGATGAAGACAGTGGTGTTGTCTTGTTCGATTGTTCTGTAAGATTATATTGTTATGCTGACATCGATTCAATGTGCGCTGCCGAAATATTGAAGGTAAAAAATATTTTTTTCTAAGCAAGTTCACGCTTTATCATCAATTTGATCTAATATAAAATTTAACCTCTTTTAAAAGAAATTATTTTTTCGAGAACATGTTATTTGGACCCTAAAACCAATAAGATCATACGATGATCTTGATAGAAGCGATTTGAGGCCAAGTCAAAACATGAAATCGGTAATTCTTTTGTCTGATTTTCGATTTCGAATTTATACGATTAGGCTAGTTATTTATTGCCTCTCGTGACTTTTTGATATTGAAGAAATTTATCTAAATAATCATATTACCAACTCATGGATTGATTCAAAATAATGAATAAATAATTGATTAGCTACGAGCTATAATTTTATTGAATTTTGGATCAAACTTGGAGCTCGCTAGAGAGTTTGATCTAACGGAAAATCCGCACGTAAATATTTATGTAATTGATAGTCTTCACCCAGTAAATTTAACAAATCTTTATGATAGAAATTCTCATGTGAGTTAATTTATTTGTAATTTACTTTTATTTATTGTGTTAAATATTAATACTAACACAACATTATTAGATATTTATTGTTTATGATGAAGAATCAGAGGAATATCAGGAATATATAGAGAAGGTATTATAAAATCAGTTCACTGAACTTTTTCTTTCCTTTTAATTAATTTGTTGGTTTATAGGCTTTAAGAAAAGAAAGTGAAGAAGAATTACAAATTAACACTGTTTTTACAGATGATTTCGGACGTCCAATAACGTTGGATGAGGTATATTATGATGGTTAAGTTTTTGTACTTGAATCGTTAAAATTGTTACCGAATTTTGATCTTGATCTTTAAATTTGATAAATTTGATATCACTATTTATATAGTCAGATAATATCGAAACAGAACCGAAAAGACGTTATGGCACTTCAATTGCGTTAATGACATATTTTCTTGCTTCAAAGCTTTTACTTAAGGATAATGATATGTTATGGTGATTCTTTACATTATTATTTCTCTTGTTATTTAAAATTTGTTATTTACTATTTGCCTTCTTTCCAACAAGGCTAGCGATAATTGGTCATACAAGTTTATATATAACAAAAAGACTCGCTTTATTAGATTACAAAAATAATGTAGATATTTTAGATGCGGAAGTAAAAGAACTTAATGATTTGTACATGTCAAATCGTCTACATAGACACAAGGCTGTAGCAAGCGAAGCAGATGATAAACGGATTATCCCTATTTATGAATATCCTTTTCTTGTTTATTAATAATATATAAAATTAATCAAACCATTCATTACCTCCTTGACTATTTAAAATATTTACATATAATTGTGTATTAATGGGACATTGGACAGTTTATGAAAGTATACTTAATTCAGAGTATACTATTACAAAAATGAAACTTAAAGAGAATCAAGGAGAAAATTTGGATAAACTATTAAGGAATATGGGGTAAGAAATCTGTAAATTTCTTCAGAGCATATAGCATTTTAATTTATTATTTTATCTATATAGAATTTCGCACAAAATGTCGAAAGAATATTTTCCCGCCATGGACGTAGAAGTCGCGAATCGCTTAGCCGAAATGATAAATTCAGAAGGTCCAAAATATAAATTCGACATACCATTATATGATGGTTGGGCGAAATTTTATGGATATAAGCTTCCAACATTTTCTGCAAGTGATGCTGTATATGGACTAATAACCTTACTGAAAACTAAGCCGTCCGCTTCAATTGAATTTGGAGTTGAAATTCAATGGGTAAATGATTTTAATGGAAGATTTGAGTGGCTGAATAATTTTCATACTGCTCTTGATGCCTTGGACAGGTAAGGCTTGATTATTTTTAACAAATAATTTATAATTTTTATTGATAATGAAGTTTTTTTTAGTAAAAACGGATGGATACTGTTAAAGGCAGCTATTGAATTAAGGAAAAAACTACAACCACTTATTATAAATGGTGGAGCGAGAGATTATTGTTTATTTTCTTAATTTGGGATGGAGCATCTTAATCGAGGTTGTAATTGGGACTTTTTCAAGACGATTTGTTAACAAAAAAATAAATGATTTCTGTACTTATTGTAGATTTAGTTTATTATTGTCAATTTGCAAATTTCTTCATAAAAAAACCGATTTCAATAAATTTGATATCGCTACATCATTGCATTCATTTCATGTATTATTTATTGGCAAAATGAAATATATTATTTAAAATAAAGAAATTAAAGGAAATAACGTATAATTAATACAAATTTATGACAAATGAATTACATATATAATTTTCTTATAAAAAGACTTGAAAGACGCGCGAGAAATTTTTCACCAAAAAAATCGCGCATTGTTTTTAGAATAAATGAATGAATGAATCAATTAATTATGTTCTTTATATGTAAGATAAAAGACAAAAAGAAATTTCTAATTTATGATGATTTTTTTCATATGAGACGCCTTCATGATTTTTGATATAAATTATTTGACTTAATTTGACGACAATGCAATTATTACATCATTTACATGAATATAAAAAGTCAAAATAAAGTATCAATCTTTACGATCCTTAACTTACTAAAAAAATTTTTTTCCATTTTTTTATTATTTGAAGATTTTTTCAAATTAATAAAATGTTAAAACGACGTATTCATTATGACTATGAGACAATCATAAGTAATTCAGATTCGAAAGATGAAATTGAATTGCCAAAGAAACAAAAGGCTGTTGATTTTAAACTAACGTCTACCGAGCTAAAAGTCGCTGAAAGACCTGATGTTGGATTACGTGGTAAATCTGTCGATTTAAAGTGCAACTACCTTAAAATAAATACTGTAGGTTATTTGATTATTTTTTTAAAAAAAATTATTTGATCAAAACTTTCATCATAAGAAAAAAATTAATAATTAACATTACGCGGATTAGTTGCCTAACGTAGATATCCATCATTACAAATTTTCGGTTAGACCGTGTATCAAAAAACCGAAAGCGCTATTTAAAATTTTTTCTCGAATGTGTTTGGATAATGTATTTGGTCCTGTACATCCTGTTTTCGATGGGAAAGAAGCTATATATTCGCCTTCACATTTAAATATTAACGCAATTAATGAAGATGGTGAAATTTACGTAAATATGGATCAAGTTTTTATTACGATTTATCTTTTTTATTAAACGAAGTTACAAGTTACAATATAATTTTAATTAGGTTGCGCTACCACGTGATGAAAAACACGAAGAAATTCGTACTTATAACGCAAGAATTGAAAAAGTTCAAATAATCAATTTCAGATTACTTCAAGATTATATCAATGGTCAAAGTCCACTTACAGGAGAAATTTTAAACTGTAATCATGTTTTAAATATTATTATGAACTTTACTGCTCATAATATGTTCATTGTTGATATGGCAAGTGAAGATTGGTCTGATCATATGGCAAAAAATCGAGTACCTGGAGCTAACCAAGGATTTTGTCAATCAATGAGACCTGGATGGGGTAAATAAATATATAAAATAAAAGTTCAAAATTATTATGATTACTTAAAAATAATGTTGATTATTACTTCAAATTTGCTCATTTAGAAAATATGGTTATTAATGTCGATTTTCATGATCCTAATTTGAAGATTCCGGCAGAATCTTTAATAAACGTCGTTGCAAAAATACTAAATAAAACAGATGAAGAATTGTTGTCCAAGACTTTGTCTGAAGATGAAATAAAGAAATTAGAACGGGTAAAAAAAAAATCTTTTTTTGAAAAAAGATAAATCTCTAATAAATTAATTAGTAATTTTTTATGAAATTAGACTTTAACCGGACTTCAGATTAGAATTGTACATCGTGGTAACCCAAAAACAAAATATATTATCGATGGTCTTTCAAAAGAATTAACAAAAGATATCAAATTTCGAGATGATAAAGGATTTCTCGTAAAAGCTGTAGATTTCTTTCCCCGAGAATTCCAATGGCCTCTTCGTTATACGTTATTGCCCTGTTTAATTGTTAAAAAAAAATTATTTATGCCAATGGATGTTTGTGAAGTTATGCCAGGTAACAAATATTGTTGGTTTAATAATAATTGTAGTAATTATACTAATTTTATTATTATTTATAGGGCAAAAATGGGAATTTCATCCCGAAGATGATAGTATGCTTGGAATGATTAAAATTTCAACGGAGAACCAAGCCCGTTTTCAACATGTAGAATCACGCGTTAAAAATATCTTAAAATTTTTCAATACCGAGAATATTAAAGAACTCGGAATGGACATTGATAACCGCATGATGACAGTTAATGGTATTTAACGTTGTGTTTTTATATTCATTTTCTTTATTTTTTTTTTTTTGGAATTTACTCATAGGTTGATTGTAGGACGCGTTTTAAATCCTCCTATTATTACATGTGATGAGGGTGGACAACAAACTGAAGTACAAACTGAAAAAGGACGATGGACATTCGAAAATCAAGTCGTTAAAATTGTAAATATTTTTATGAATTAACCTTAACCCTAACCTGAAAAAGAATGTTTAATTTATTGATTACTGTAAATGTTGTAAATTAGGGAAAACCCTTAGAAAATTGGTCTTTGGTCATACTTTGTGGTGAACGCCACAATCGGTTTGATTCCATTCAAGAGTTTCTTAATCAATTGTGTAATATGTTGAATGAGATTGGCTTGGTAGATTAATTTTCGTGAAATGCTCGTGTTTATATCATATTTGTATTAACTATTTGTATTGTTTATTTAAAGAACGTGATTACTGTTCCGGAAGTTATGTACGCTAATAAACAAGGAAATATCGAGCAGGTAAATACATCTTAAATGAAATTAATGAAATTGAAGTTACGTAATTTCATTCAACATTTTAATATTTTATTAGGCATTGGCAATTGCGTATCAAAAAGCTCATATCAACAAAAAAATTTCACCACAATTAATTGTTTGTATAATGCCAACCCATTCGAAACAACTTTATTCAGAAATAAAACGCGTTTCGGACACAGTTTTAGGAATTCCAACTCAATGTATAACCGCAGATAAAGTAACTTTTAAATGGAATAAGCAGTTGTTGGCAAATATTGGATTGAAGATTAATGCAAAATTAGGAGGACATAATTGGAGTTTATCTAAGAGCGATTTGAGTTTAATAACAGAAGTTCCAGTAAGAAATCACTATATGGAAGATTAAATTATTTTTTCTAATTCCTTTTAGTAATTAATCGTCTTCTGTCTAGACTATGTTACTTGGAGCTGATATTTCTCATCCAAACGTTTTGACTAAAGTAAAGCGTAGTATTACGGGAATGTGTGGTTCCATGGATTTGTCTGCGACAACTTATATTGGCCGCAGTAGCGTTCAAAAGGAAACACATAATCCGACTATTGAGGTTCTCGAGGAATTAGTCAGTGAATTGTTATTTAACTATAAAGAAAGGAATAAAGTTCTTCCGCAAAGAATCTTATATTATAGAGCAGGCCTTACGCCAAGTCAATTCCGCGGAACTTTGAATGCTGAAATTATAAGTTTAAAAGCGGCTTTTACTAAAACTTATGAGAAAAACATGCCAAAATTGACATTCATAATTGCTGAGAAAAGTAATCATACAAGGTAATAATAAGTAAACCAATATATTATAATTAAAAGAATTTTAATGGTTTTATTCCTTTTTTTTTCTTCTAGGTTTTTGCCAGACAATCCTCAAGATGCAGATAGATTCGGAAATTGTCAACCTGGAACCGTTGTGGACAAAGGGATTGTATTCGAGAAGGAATTCGATTTTTGTAAGTAATAATAAACATATGAAATTAGATAACTTTAGGGCGCTGATTTTTATTTTTATTTTTATTTTTATTTTTATTTTTATTTTGGAAATAGACCTTCAATCTCACCCTGGAATAAATTCCAAGGCTCGACCTACGCATTATCACGTTCTTTATGATGAGAATAACTTCAATTCTGATCTTATTCAATCATTGACTTATCACCTTTGTTATTTGTCCGCAACGTTAGTAAATATTTTTATAAAATATCACAATCATTTATTAATATCTATTTACATTACATCATTTATTTTCTTATAGATGCACTCATGCAATTTCTTTCGTCCCACCAATCGCTTATGCTCGTAATATTGCAGAACGGGCTCGAATGTATGCAACAGCCGCAAATACCGACTTAATCAGTCAATTCGAAGCTATGGATATTGACGATGAAATAGAAACTAAAGATAACGAGAATCAAAGTTTCATTGAAATTGAAAATGGATCTAATAAAGAACCAGATTATTTATTTCCATCTGTTTCTAGTAAGTTGACTAATATGATGTATTTTGCATAGGACATTTACAACTTATGAAAGTGATACAGTAATATTCTTAATTATGTAAAAATTATTGGAAGTATTTTATTAAAGTTCTCTAATAAATAAAAATCCTTGGTAAGCGATAAATAATAATTGAATGATTTTTTTAAATAATCCAAAGTATATTGAAATATGTTTGTATCATTTACATAATGGAAACGGAGACGAAATTCATTATTAACTAGAGCTCATTTTTTTAATTTTTTACGTATTGGAGATTTTAAAAATTATTATTGTATAAACAGTATACGTGAAAGAAATTTCTTTTCTTTTGCAAAAACGCTGGCTCTGTATGCTTGTTTTGTTTTATTATTATTACGAATGATCTGTATTAATATTTTTGACCCGGCGCTATTTAAGCTGGTTTTTTAAAGTATATTTTATTTATTGTCCTCTTGAACAAAGACAAAAGAGAATAATGAAAGACGAAATTTCTCATATTAATTTTTAAGTGGATAGTGATTTCTTTCATTAGTACTGTAGTAATTATTTAAATGATCACTTTAAAAGTAGTATTTTAATAAAGTTTGTTATTGCAAAAAAATATTTCCTTTTGTTAGAAAAAAAATGTTATTTTTAATAACTAACAATCTAGAATGGATTATTTGTTAACAATAAGTGTGAATAAAATATTAGATTTAAATTTACATAGTAATCTAGTAAAATTACACCGTCACATTGCAGTAAAAATTAAAATATTAACTAATGAGATTATAATGTTATTATCCTTTCATGCTTAATGTTAATATGTAGAATAATTTAGGAATATTCTATTTATTAAAACATTTTTACATAATGCCTTTCAGTTTATTTTTAATACGTATACTGCGCCATAATTGTTTATACAGGATATTATTAACCATGGCTATTTTATTTTTAGAGTCTCTTTCATTTTCTAATGACAAACTTCATGTCATACAATATCAACTCTAATGGATTGGAATCTGGATTAAACGAAACTTATAAAGTACCTCTTCCTCATAATAAGAAAACAACGATCTTTTCAATCTTTCATGTATGATTTTGTCATATATCATAATTTAATTAATTTATATATTTGGAAAATTCCTTTGTCTCTCAAATTGCACAACAGCAAACCTGCATATAATGTGATACAGCTAATTTATTATATATATATGCGTTATTTACACACACACATGGTTTCAAAAAAAAAAAACATTTTTCAAAAGATAAAAGTTACAATGAAGAATTTTATCTCAATACTTGCACTCATTTTAACTTTCAACAATTTCGTTTTCGTATCAGGGTCATTGTTGGAATGGAGAAGAGATGAATTGCTTGGTATTCGAACATTACCTGCTAGTAATTCAACTTTGGCGGAGAGAGCTATCTGCCCAGGAGGGTTTATTGATTGTTTAAATGGTGGTTGTTGTCCTAGAGGCTCAAAGTGTATAGCTGACAACAAATGCAGCATTCGCTGCACTCCAGGTGCTCCACTTTGCAACGGCGGTTGCTGCCTGTTTGGTCAAGTTTGTGGTGGAAAATTTTGTGTAGCAGGAACAAAACCCAAAGCACCAAAACCACCTCCACCAGCAGAAAAGAAAGCTCCCCCACCTCCACCAAAAGAAAAGAAAGCTCCCCCACCGCCACCAAAAGAAGAGAAAGCTCCCCCACCGCCACCAAAAGAAGTGAAAGCTCCCTCACCATTACCAAAAGAACCGCAACCAAAAAAACAAGACTTACCAAGTGCACCACCGCCACCACCTCTTCCATCGTTTTCACCAGCACCACCACCACCATCATCGCCACCATCACCCCCAAAATCACCTTCATCAACTAAAGCACCCATCAAAACACCCAATAGCAGCGTTGCAGGAAGCCTCGCCAGCAGTGGGTCGACATTTGGATCAGCATTTGGTTCAACATTAGTCTACTCAACTGTTTTAGTTTACCTTAATTTAATATAACTTTAAATTTGTGCGTGTAACATTTCGCGATTTAATTACATGTTGATCATGTTCACTATAAATAAATATAATATAATAAATACATATTATACATAGTAATATATATATGGCAATCAATAGTTTAGAATATCAAGGCTGTACCGCAGTAGTAATAAAAATTCATGATTTTTTGTACAAATTAATCCATCCTGTTACACTTTTGAGCCATAATGCTAAAAAATTTTGTTCACTTTTCACATTTTTTTTTATTATAAGAAATACATACTAATATTGATTAGGATAAGTGAGATTGGGTATCAATTATTAATATTGTTCTCTCTGAAGTGTACAGTATCAGAAATTGTCCTAAAAAAGAAATGTGCAATATAAAAAATTTCAAAAATAGGATTTTATGATTTTGTTTCATATTTTATTTTTATCTGAATGTCCAGTTATAAGGGTTTTTTTTCGCATTAAACTTGGCAGAAACAACGATAGCGAATTTAATAACTTTTAGACAAATATAGGTAAATAATAAATTATGGAAAATTCCAAATTTCTAATTAACTTCTATATAAAGAAATTTTTTCGGAAATTACTCGACGATAATAAATTTTGTGCGACAAACAAATCTTTATGCATTACAGATACAAATTTTTATTTGTCATTGAGATTGATTTTCATTGTTAAAATTAAGAGAGACCAACAAAGAATTATAAAAAAAATCAATAAAATATTGCATTTTTCAGCTGAAAGATTTATGTAGAATTTTTTTTTTCTCGAAAAAAGGAAGATTGGCGGTAAATATTTTTTTTTTTTTCACAATTTGTGTACATCATACATTATATTTAGATTTCAATTCCATGTGAACTTTATTTGGCAATTTTTGAATGAACATTACTGCGTATGCTGCGCATGCTGTGGTGATATGATGAAATAGAATAAGCAGCTTACTCCGGGGTAATTTAAAATTAAACGAATAATAATTGTAACACATTGTGACACAAAATTGATATTTCTAACCCGGAATTGGGAAATAAATAGGAATTTGTTAAATAGTTTAAACGGAAAATATGATGATATGATCCTCTCATTTTACCCATACACAATATAAACATAATAAATTATTATTTATCCATTGCATAATGAAGTATTATTATATTCTCTGCGAGCTTTTAACATTGTAGTAATCATTAATTATTAAGATAATTTTAACGGATGAATAAAAGAATGCGATTTAAATTTCGTACAATAGTCATGATTTAAGACATAGGATAATATATATATATATATATATATTTTCGTTTATAATCGGTTTATTTTGTTTAATCTTGTCATCAGGTTCTTCACTACCGGACGTTCCGATATTTTTTTATCACGTGAATTTGGTGTGATGCCAAATTTACGTGATAGTCGCTAAATTTAATTTTGGAGTTTTTATTTTTGTACTATTGTTTCATGATATTGTTCACAACAAAAAATTTTCAATCTTTTTCATCCGATGCTTGAAATCTTTTTTTACTTCAAAATATAGTATCCATCCGTTATAGGAAATCATGGTATTCAAAATTTTTATGAATAAAAGGTAGTTTTTATTCGAACAAATTTGTTTTCTTTATAAATCGATTACAACCTTTATACAAAAAAAAATCCAGTGATCTATTATAATGTTAAAATAAGAAAGAAAAATCGTACTAACTAATTAAATGCTGATACGAGTAACATGAATACCATATGTCTATGTACAGTATATAAGAAATATCTCGGTTTTCTTCAGAGTTTAGATAATCAGTCTAATTGCCAGCATTATATTGAATATTGAGATCTTTTTTAGTAAATCTTTTGTAATTCATGAATCATCCCTTTGACTATTTCATGAGTAATATCAACATTGGCATATAATGCCTTAAAAATAAATTTAAATAAATTTTGTTAATATCAATCAAATAAGATTTTCTTTTTTTAAAAAAAAAATCAAAAATTTACATAAATTACTTCGTTTTCACCGTCTTTGATGCTGGTATCTAGGGTTACAATGGGTAGTAGTAAAAATCCTTGTAGCGAATTAGTTGCTCAAATCTGCATTTATATAATATAAAAAATCTTGTGATTTAGAGTATATTAGGAATAGATAATGTTTTTTTGTGATAACGATTATGCAATTTAGTATGTCTTGAAGAATATTATATCAACAATTTGCTATAAAGATTTTATCAATTACTTCACATAACGTAGGAATGTAGGATTTAAACATATATTCTTCATAATTGGTTGAATGTATGGCTAATAAAAGGAGAACACAGTAAATTAATATTTAATATTTAATATTAAATATTACTATATTAAAAAAGTATATCATGCCTTTAATTTAGTTTTTATGTATTTAATTTAGATTAAATAAATTTGAAAATTTTGAATCAATGGTAAAATTACATACATACTATATAACAAAATGCAAAATCTGAATTCAAATTTACATATATTAAACACATATTTCAAAGATTAATTTCAAAATGAAATTCAAGAAACATTATTTGATTCTTCTTTTTTTGATGATGATAATAATAATAGTGATTATAATAATGATGAAAAGAGTTATGATCAAAATGAGGACAATATGGAAGCAAGGTAGGATGATGCTACTGAGGCAGTTAATAATAATTTGGAAATTTCACAATAAATTAATATTATAAATAAAGAATTAAAAAAACTATTTCAAACAGAAGTTAAAGTAGTAATTAATATTCCTCTACCACTACTAGTAGATTACAATTTTCAAGAATTTAATATGGAAGAAATGTTAGATAGAACTTTTTATTTAAAACATAAAATACATTGATTTTATAATAAGTAAATTTTATATTTTTTTTTTTGAGTATTGCTAAATATTACTAGTGGTGATCATCATCATACGTAAACTATTTTTTGAATTTTCGAAATTTTTAACTGAGTTATTATTCTAATTATAATATAAATATCATCACTATATAAATTTATGAGTAGAACAAGTTTTCTTAGATTATAATCGGGTGATATGTGTATAATATATGTAAGGTCAGGCGAGTTACCAAAGGTAACCGATCTTGAGGGGAAAACGAATTAGAATTTAGGAATAGAAATTTCGTCATGTATCATGGGCTACGTTCCGAACTTTGTATTTATTTTTCGCATGTATTAATAAAAAATTTTCTTGGCAAAAGTGATCGGCGTGAACATTGTTCACGCGCACGTGATTTTTTTTTTTATATCAAACATGTTAAGGGTTATGAAGACCGTGACATTTGATCAAGCTACTGTCCAAAAAGAGCATGGTCGCCGTTCAGATTGTCTTCACTATCTCGCAAACACAAAAGCAAATACGATAGATAATGTATGGGGATAATAACAGATGCTGTAAAATGATATTTTGCTAGACAGTGATGAAAAACCGTCGTTCAAGTTATTGAATCCCTTATTTGTTGCGTACTAAGATGAAAATATGAAAGACAAGGCAGAGGTTATGTTATATGTTACTGGAAGAGGCACAGAAGCAATGAAAGCTGGGAGGAATCGAAGAGAATGAAAAGGTAAAGTCATAGAGTAATCTCGCGGAGGAATAGGTAGGTTAATGGGATAGAAACGTAGTAATTTAGCGATGTAGTAGGACTCCCTTTAAAGCATGTCATATATTTCGCTTTCTAAGCATTTCTTTATGTATTTTACGTATCTAAAAAATTAATAAAGTTTGCCCGCATTAACGCATCAAATTTATGATTAAACGCTAAATAAAATTTATCGTATTTATTTATGATTTATATCTTATAGACTAGAACATTGCAAAATTACACTTGAGAAAGATATCGATCAATATCTCTATTGACGTTCGCAAATCCTGTTACTACCGAAATGTAATCGGGATTAATCTCAACATCTCTATTTCTTAATTTTTTAATCTTCATTTCCACTTCCTCATCAGCTCCATTTTTGCATGTAATCCATATGAATATTATTACTACATTCAAGTTATTTGGTATATTTGATTTCAATTCTGGCCAAATCCCAGAAAAAAAAGCTCCTTCAGAATCTGAATGTCCTTCCTTATCAAAGGTGATCTGAATTGGTGCAATATACAACATACCTGTCTTGTATAAGGCCAGTAATCCGTCTATTGACTTTTGGTTCCATTTACGTGGCAAATAAAACGTACATGCTGTCTCTTATACACATCTAGATGTGTATAAGAGACAGATATACAACATACCTGTCTTGTATAAGGCCAGTAATCCGTCTATTGACTTTTGGTTCCATTTACGTGGCAAATAAAACGTACATGTCCCCCCACTCAAAGAAAAATTAATATCTTCTACACCAGAAAAAAACTGATGACTATCGACCTTAAATCCTATTGAATTTGCCATAATTCCGTTCTAACAAATGCTAGCAATGCATGCCTTTTCAATTATAAATCCCTTTACCGATGGATTGTTCTTGAATGACTTAATCCAATTTATGTCTATCCATTCTGTCCTTTCCATAAAGGTAATTTGCCATGCAATCCCGTGCTAACCCACAAACGTAATAGCATTTTCCATTGTCAACGTAGAAGAAGCGATGATCGTAATCATTATGCCCATAGCCATCTGTAGGATCTTTATTTGTCAGAAATGATGTCATCAACTTGACATGACTATGTAAATAGAGAAGTCAGTTTTCATACAGTGCGCTAATCACAAAACAAACTAAGAATACATACAGTTCCCATCTATTGCTACTTGATATAATGTCTGAAAAGTTCATCATTGGCTCTTTTATCTTTGATGTTAATTGTTGGTCTAAATACTCCCATGCATCTTTAAAGTTCTTGTGATCTGATTCTAACAAAAACTTTAGGAAGAGCGGAATTTTTCCAGTGATATCTTCGATTTGTCTTATCTGTTGTTCATCCATTGCTGGTAAATCGGAATTGTGCTTATTCCACCATTCTTTCATCTCCCCCTAAATAAATATTACATTAAATACACAGAACGTTCACAATATAAAGAAGATTTCTTATTCTTACCTCATCAAACCCTCCAAAAAGCTTGATCTTCAATTCTCCGGTCTGCTTTGCCATAAGATGCAACATCGTCTTGTTGTTAGCCGAAGAACTCATAATATAAAAGTGGTTATCGACCATTTTATCAAGATTTTCTCGAATTTGCCGTTTCTTTTCTAAGCTAATCCCGGTGTTATCTCCTTCGTCCAGAGCATTCATTTGGTCTACGATGAAATATAACTTTTCCTCCAATGATTTGCAAAATTTTATGATGTGACAAAAATCTTCACAGGCATTTATTTCACTTATTTTCACATCATCATTTTCGTAAGTAAGAAATAAGGCAAGTTTAATGTATTCAACTGGATCAACAGCCAATTGGCGACAATCAGGAAGAAATACAACACGCCTTCTTGTTCGGAAAAGAAAACATGCAATGGCTGTAAGGATATACGACTTGCCATATCCGACAGTACCATAAATAAATAATTTCATATAACTACGAGGCCGAAGTTTGTTAATGTCTTCTAGAACCTGCTCAAATTTCGTTCTTCCCATGAAGATGAAAGAGCCATCATGGTCAATATCAAATCTATCTATTGGTAATTTTTCGCCAAGGTATGGATATGGTAACGAAAGGAAATTTTTAGGATCTGAGTAAATAGTTTCATTCTCGTCGAGTTTCATTATGTCCTCCATGATTCTACGGGCGGTAGAAATTATATTCGGATCTAATAAAATAAATGTGTATGTTAAAACAGTGATGTTTAGTCTTAGTTGAACCCTAAAATTACACACCTGCTAGTTTCACCCTTTTACTATTTTGATCCTCGTCCGAATTTTCCAGTGGTCGCTTTCCTTTTTCCGATCGAATAAAAAATAAGATGTGAGATAACGCGAATTTCTTGTTCGAGAGGTAAACCATTGGGAGACACTTACCAGTGGTGGCGGGCGAAGATGGTGGTTGCACGATTATGTGAATGTGCTCCTTTGGAGGAGGTTCTTTGAATGTTAAATCAATGTGCCAAGTTTCGTCCAATCTCTCACCGCTAAATTCTTCTTTAACATCGAGATCTACACGATGATTTTCCAGAAGTCTTTCGTACTTGTCGTTATTTCTGGTAGGGATCTCGACCTTCCATAGCTTGATTTTTTTGTCGTTATTTACTCCAATACTTGCAAAGTAATCCTTATCATCTTCCCAAATGGCCTTCTTTAATTCTGTAAAGTCTACGTATTTTCCGATTTCAAAATTGAAAGTAACACCATTACCTAAAATGAAACAGCCAACCATGATGTATCTGAGTCTACGGATGTAAGTGAGAAAGATCTTAAAACATTTTCTAAGGTTTGGGGGACGTTGTATATATAAAAAGACGTGCAATCACTTTGAGTCATGATACGATACGATGCATACCTTTTTCCATGGTGACTATCCGCCGAATCATTTTTGATCAAACCACTTAATCGATTTGACATTTTTCTGGTGTTATCGGTATCACGTTATGACGAAATATAACAGCAAATTACTCTTATTTGACCTCAGACCCTCAAACAACAGGCCGGTTCATACCGGCATTTTCGTGTGAATTTTTACAATAATAAAACGAAAAAAGTTTCATCAGAACAAATCCGGATATTTATATAAAATTTTTGTTGATCTGACTAATGTGTGCAACGGAAAAATAATGCGCAGAATACTGCCGACACAACTTTTTTTCTTACTCAAGCCGTAATATTTTTCTCCGAAAGAAGCATTGACGAAGAATTATTGAAGTTTCGGACGAGGCTTACAATGAATATTTCTGTTGTAGCTGTGCATTTGCGAGGAAGCGACCCAGAGCCTGCAGAGCTAATATCAATTTTTTTGTTCAGAAATTTCTAGAACGTTATTAGGCGGAGAATATAAACTTTCGGTGAGTTTCACTAAGATCAATACTGTTAATTTACTTCTGACTATGGCGTGTTCTATGCATAACTGACGACCATTCCAGAATATCGATGTTGGGGACAAATAAAATCGGACTAGAGTTAGAATATCGTGTTAGTATATAGATAGCTTAGCCTTAGATGAACGAAACACCGGCAGGCATTAGTGTAGAAACTTTGTAAAACAAGTTTATGTATTACGAATCTTGTGATTTATTTTTTACATCAATAAATCAGTAATTCCGATGAGGATATTACCTCGTTTTTTTATCTATGCTAACGAACTTTTGAATTATTCCATCTTATATAAAAAATTATTATCGAACATGCAATCCACTGATTCATTGAGAGAATTAAATGCCAAGCTCCTAGCTGAGATCGCCAAACTTAGGAAAGAGAATGCTGAGATTCCTGAACTTAGAGAGAAGTTACTAAGATTTGCTGAGGTTGAGGCTGAGAACGCGAAGCTGAGGCAAATTATTGAAGAGAATGCAAGGCGTGATTCTGAGAATGCTGAACTCAAGTCTAGAGTCGGAGAGCTTGAGGCTAGACTTGCATTATTAGAACAGAGTTCAGCAGTGGATGGGATGGCGTTGTCATTTGGTCAGACACAAAACGGTGAAGAAGCGATACCAGTGGTGATGGTACCAACTGTTGATGTACCCGATTCTGTGATAGACCAACTCAGTAATGAAGTAGGACGAGTACCTAGTGACCTTGATGGTAACGATGAGAAAATGGTCGATTTCTTGGATGAGGCGTATAAGAAAAGCATTAGCAATGAGATTAGAGAGAAGAGGCGGGAAAAGAAGCAGAGAGATCAAGAGGCACTCGTAATTTCTCAGAATGTGACTAAAATTTCTGAGCAAGACGAGCAAGAATTATCACAATCTTATGAGGCCAGTTCTGAGAACATAAGATCAGCATCTTGCATCTTATCAAAGCAACCGCAAGTTAATGCATCCAAATTAGCATGTAATCTTGAAAACCGTGAAGATTCTTCACGATTGGAGTCATGTGATGTGGAGGAACTTAAATCCGATCAGTATGATGAAGTTATTGCCAAGTTGGATAAAAATATAATTGTGGAACAGGAGTTAAAGCAACAGTTATCGTCACCTGCACATACAACTACGTTGGATCAAACTTTAGAAGGACAGGATCCATCTTCAGATACCGCACAAAATATAGTTTGCATGTTCAGGAAAGCTAATAAGCTTGGTCAAGAAGCAATTTTATACTGGTACTACTTTATAGAAAAATATGACGAAAGGATTGATAACCTTGTTGCCGGTGGAGTTAAGAAAAAAACTGCAACATTTCACTGGTCAGAATAGTCCATTTCGGCAAAATTTTAAATTGCCGAATGTTGGACGAAATTCGGTCTGACCTTAGCCGATCAGTACCAAAAAAATTGGCAACTAATTTTATGGACGATCCAATTACTCCTATAGGTTTCAGTACGAATAATCAGTGTTAATTCTCTATGGTGGACATTACTCCTATAATAAGGTTCGGTGCGTGCTGGCGTTAATTCCCTATGATGGATATTACTCCTATGAGGTTCAGTACGTGTAAATGGAGTTAGTTCTCTTTGTACGGTTACATTACGAATTGGTGGTACCATCCTGCTTTGTTGGTACAAACTGGATGGTATCATTAATAAACGAAATAGCCCATTATCTTCTAAAGTTTCTGGTATCAACGTTTGTTTTTGGGATTTGGTAGAGCCGGAAGCTGCAGATTCTTGCTGTTTCATCACTTGCTTTTAGGTTTTGGTAAAGCCGGAAGCTGCGAATTCTTGCTGTTTTGTCACTTGCTTTTAGGTTCGAAGCTGCAGATTCTTGTTGTTTCAACGTTTGCTTTTGGGTTTTAGTAGAGCTGGAAGCTGCAGATTCTTGTTGTTTCGACGTTTGCTTTTGGGTTCTGGTAGAGCCAGAAGCTATGAATTCCTGTTGTTTTGACAATTGCTTTTGGGTTTTGATAGAACCGGAAGCTGCAGATTCTTGTTATTTCGATATCGACGTTTGTTTGGAAGAATCAGAACTTGCAGATTCCTGTGCTGAAGTTTGTTTGTGAGACTCTTGACGAATTTTTTCGACACTTTTTTTCCAGATCATTTCATTCTTTATAGTAGATTTTAATAAACAGAAGAATAGTAAAATTACTTTGCTGAAATCTTCAAATTTGCCACAATATTTTAATGATACATTTTCAACATCTTCACGACGACATCACGATTTTTTTGAAGATATC